TTTGGTTGGATATTGATAAGGAGAGGTCAAAGTAGACAAAGCTACTTCACGAAGCATTAGGTGAGAGAGGCTACACCACCATCCTTCTCGAATTTTGTAGAAAACTTTGATTATAGAACAATATGTTTTAGGTAGTGTAATAGCACAAAAATGATGATGTTGTTGTTGTTTGTAAGGTATAAAACCTGAAAGATTTAAAAGATTACATCTAGTACAAGAGGCAATGGGTGTTTGAAGGCAAGCCGATTGGTTTGGCAAATAATGTTGTGCGTGGATAATAGTATCTTCGACTTTGACTATTTTTTCTAGTATTAATGTCATATATTGGTTAGACCAAATTATAATGAAGGTTGAATGGATTGTTGAGTTATTAAATTCAGAGGGTTGAACTGGTGCTTTTATGATTGATGTATGAGAAGGACAATTATAAGACAAGAGTCTATCTGAATTATTGATCAAAAGTCGAGATTCTATTTGTTTGAACTATTTAGCACTATGGAATACTGAATCGTAAATCATGTTTAGGTCAAAAGCTGTGAATAAGTGAATGCCATCTATAGATGTAAGTTGATCGACATATACTACACTATAATAAATTACCAGATTTTATAAATTTTACTTAGTAATATATAGTAAAATTGAAGATTTTCAGATTACATAAAGTTTATGAATTTTTAATAAAATTCACTTTAAATTTTTTTATTTAATAACCAATCAATTATAATTTTAAAAATATAATTCAAAAATATTTTATTTATAAAATACCGAAAAAATACTCATTTGTAAAGTAATAGACAATATAATTTTATATATAAAATGCAAAAAAACATATAAAAAAATTGTTACTTATACTTTAATATGAGAAAATTTTTTCATGTTCTAAAAAATTTCTTTTTTTATTTTAATATCTAAAAGTTATAATTGATCAGCTATCAAATAAAAAAAAATCAGATAACATTTATTGAAAATTTGTAAATTTTTATGCAACCTAAAGATCTTCAATTTTACTATATATTACTAAGTTAAAATTTATAAAATCCGGTAATTTATTGTAGTGTAATGTATAAGATCGAAAGTATTCACAATTTCATTATATTTTATCAGTAAACCTTGGAAGGAAGCAATTGCATTATTTCTATACATTGTTGAAATGTAAGTCCAATCTACTTAGCAGCTGAAAGGAAACCTGACCACCAGTCTTTGAAGGACTTGGTTTCTATGTAAGGCCAGTTAGTTAGTGAAGATGATGGTAACCATTCTAAGAGTTGTAATTGCAAAATTCTTAATCGTGAAGTTGAACCAAGAAGTGAAATATCATTGGTCATTTTTAATAGATTAGATAATTTAGCCTGAATCTGCTTATCGTATAAGTGTGCTAAATTGTAACCAAAGGTCGAGTGAATTACTGAAGCAGATATGAATCTTGACAGTCCTAGTTTCTTTTGAAAAAAGTTCTGAAAGAAGTCATAAGAGTATCGCAAACTGAACGAGAGACAAACATTAGTTTTGTTTTGTACAGTATACGAGGAATGACTATAGTGTTGAAAATTGCAACCATGTGTTTAGCAGTGAGTCATTTCTTGTTAATGACGTTCTTTATCTTTGTGAACTTATCAGTAATTTGATTAATAATGTATTGTTTGTTATTAAAAAGAGATACCCAGACTCCTAAATATCTTGTAGAATCCTTATGGTGTATTGGTGGAAGCCAAATGTCCTTGTTATTAAAATTAAAGTTAACTGAAGCGGAATCTTTGTCATTAATCATGAGAACTGACTTATCCCAGTTAACTTAGATGCTGTTAAGTATATAGAAAGAGTCTGCTATATTCATAATATTTAATAGGTCAGTTCTGGAGTCTGCCATCCAAAGTGTGTCGTCGATGTATGCTAATATAAGAACATGATTTGAGAAACTCTGTGTATCACGTTTTGTAACATCAGATCTCCAATAAATGTGCTGTGTATATCCATGTGAAGAATTTTGTATAAAACAAAGAAGTGGGTCATAATATATACACCATAAGATAGGAGATATAATTTCACCTTGATCAATACCTGAGAGAACTAGGTAAGTATCAGAATTACCATACGTGGTAAATACTTGATTAAAATGAGGGAGAAAGATCAAAATCAAAGTTTTATAAATGCTTCAGGAATCTGAAGATGGCTAAGAGCTCTGATTAATATAGTGATATTAACACGATCATATGCCTTGGACATATCTTGAAATAAAATCTAGAGATTGCTGTGATAAAACGACGTGTCGTAATTGACATTATTAAATATATGTATTGGTTCAAAGGTGCTTCTGCAAGGCAATCCAGCAAAATTGTTTCCTTTGAGAATGCTGTTGGTAGATAAGACATTCAAAAGTCGACCATTGATTAACTTGGTAAGAGCTTTACGAGGGTATTCAAGAAGCGTGATAGGCCATGTGTTTGTTAAGTTGTATTCCCATAGTTTTGGCTTAGGTATTGGATAAACGAAAGCAAGATTCCATCTACTAGGTGCTAAATTGAGTGACAAACATCTGCAAATAATAATTCAAAAGCATTTTAATGCAAAGGATATGAGGTGTTTTAACATTTAGTTAGATATCTTAGATGAACCAGGAGCTTTTCCATCAGGGAGCGCCCTAATGATTGTGTGTCATTCATCCTCTGAGGGGGGTTGCATAATGGAGTTATATATCGAAGGATCGATCAATTTGTCTGGCTTATAAATGTATTCCCATATTTCTGGAAGTACTGAATTAGAGTATTATGATCCAACCACTTTTGAAAATGTCTTGCCATTTTGGTTTGAATATCCTTTGGAGCCGTGAGGAGTTCTTTGTCAGGAGAGTTGTTATTAATGCATCTATCTAGTATAATAGTGGTGTAAGAACGATCTAATAATAAGTCAAACATAGCTTTTTGGTCTTCTACAAAGTTAGTACAACATTTTTCGATAGCTTCATTGATAGTTTTAATTTTAAGTTCAGCTTCGTTTAACTTTGCTGCTATTGATAGAACTTTACAATATCGACTAATAGGGGACGGATCAATTTGATCTCTTATATCGAAGGTTGACTGATATCAGAGAATATTATAGCATATTCAGCTGAAAAGTCCTGTATCTTTTTACACCAGGTGGTCCACTTGGGGTCGATTGTATTCTCTATGATGCATTTGCTACTTAACTTGCAAAGTTTTTAAATCATCTTGATACGTTTATAGATCAATTTAAGAATACGTGATCTAAGATCTCAGTTATGGTGTGAGGTATATTTGTTAGAGATTGTTTTAGTAGCAGCGTCTATAATCGATTTTTGTAGAAGATTCCAATAGTAATTCAAATAGTGTAGTGTGTGTATGCTATTTGATGACATTTTGTTGAGTTTTGTGTTTTTGCATCGTTTATTGACTAAGATTCCAAAGGTCGACCAGGTGTCATCAGACATCTTGTCATATCGATAGACTAACTTTTTTATTGCTGTTCATTGAGTGAAAGATGGATTAATAGTTACTAATGAAATAGTTGCATGTACAAAAGCATGATCTGACAAATCGTTGTCAACTTTTGTTATTACTTTATCAATAAGATCTGGGATTAATGAGGAGTGCATAAAAATGTGATCTATTGTAGAGCTTCTTGTGTTAGTTTCATAGGTAATTAAGTCATCAATTGATTTATAATTCTTGATGAGATCTAGATTGTTGATCATGTGAAGACTATTAAGTGAGGTGAAGAACGCCTTTGAATTTGAAGGATTAGAGGTCTGTGACATATCTGCGTTAAAATCGCCAAAGATTATTGTGAGGAAGTCCTTTTTGTGTGTGTCATTTATTAGGTCTAAAGCTTTTTTGTAAGTTTTGTTTCGTAACTGTTTATCTCAGCTGGAAATATAAATGTTAATAATACAGAGTTTGTGTTTATTTTTAAATTGAAAATCTATCGAATAAATACGATGAAAGAAGGAGGAGTGGTGAAAAACATGGTCAGCTAGGTGTCTTTTGATGAGAAAGCCAACTCTGAATCCCATACTTTGAGCGGAGGGGTCAATGTTAAAAAAAGGAACAAACGTATTTGAATAAATGGGTTTTAAAGAGTGTATATGAGATGAGTTTTTAAAATTTGTTTCTTGTAAAGCAATGATGTCTAAATTATAAAGAGAGTATAGATTAAAAAGAATTTGTTATTTGTGTGGTAGAGTAAAGGAATGAGTATTATGAGTGGCGATATTGAAGGTAAGGGAGACCGTTTTTGTATTTGGTGGTTGATAAAATCATAATTATTTAAAGAAGAGTTTTGGGGCGGGAGCCTCTGTGCTATCTTTTAGAGCGATGATTACACCGGGCATGTTTAATATAGGGATCAAAGTTATGTGTGCAAGGTGTGTTTCATCGAGAACCATATATTGGATGTTGGCGACGGCTTTAAGGGCGATATTAAGTTTTTCTACCGTGGTTTTGTTGTGTTTGTGTAATTCTTCAGTTTCTGCATAAAGAATTGTGATGTGCTTTTCTTGTTCAATAACACGAGAGTCCAATATGTCGACTTCTGGTTCATAGATAGTATTTGTGTCTATAGCACCTTCTGCCTTGACCGCATTATTGAGTTCAACCACTTTTTTAAATGTGAATGTGAAAATGTTTAGGTGCTTTTCAACTTCGTCGAGACAGTGCATGAAAAAAGCGAGGTCATTGTGAATTGTTGCAAAGGTAGCCGTGATAGCATCCAGTTGATTTAAGATTTTTTGTGTATTTGTTAATTTGTGCGTGAGTGTTTTAGGTAATCGGTGAGGTATGTCTGTTTCGTCTATTTGTTCTGACCATGATTTCTGCGCGTTAATTAATTTATCGAGGGAGGATTTATTCTTTGATAACTTAAGTTCATTGGGTCGTATAAAAGGAGTCTTAGCTGGAGGTTTAACATCCTTGATTCTATTTGCAAACGATCGTAGATTTTTTGGATCAAATATTGTCTCCTGGTCATGTACAAACGTGACCTTAGGGCGAGGCGCAGGTGCAGAATAATTTTTAAATTGCGCAGGCTTATAATGTTGGTATAGGTTTTGTGTTTGTCTATCTTTGGGAGTAGGTCATTTTCGTCTACAATTTCTCGAATCATGACCAAGAATAGAGCAATGTGCGTATAGGGTAGTATCAGATGCGGTCCAGATAAGTTTCCTATTATCAAACTCAATGAGATCCTCACTTTTTACCACGTTGAGATCTTCTTTATTACTGAAGTGCATAAAGGCGTATTGGAGATTTCTATAATTTGATCGTGCTTTAGGAATCACCCATGTGATGTCATTAACTACTTTACTGATAGGCTCCAATTCTCTACCAGTGGTATCCTTAGAAAGGTTAGTCAGTTTTAACGTGAATTGGGAATGAGCTTTTATTTCTTCGGTTATAAGGGAACAAACGTGTACTCTGACTATGTCTTTCAAAATAAAAATGCCAGCATGAGAGTTAAAAAAGGATAAGTCTATCTTAGATGCATATGAAATAATCACCTGCTGCCAAAGGTTTTTCATCATCATTGTGCATTTGGTGATCGTACTGAATCTTGCAAACGTAAATCAGATGATTTCTCTGTTGTTGAGATCAGGATTTCTGTGACCTTGATCGATAGACTCAGGTCAAATTTAAATAGAGCAGGTGTGACAAGAGGTATAAACGTGACATTATCCATATTGGGAATTTTTGCAGCTATAGCACGATTAGCATCATCTTGTATTGTAAAGCCTAAACAGACTATTTTCAATGTTTTATTTGTAGGGTCTAATTTGATGAATGCACCAATGAACGATGGGAATGCTACGCCATTGAAAAGTTCGCAGGCTTTCTTGGTCTTTTTTCTAAAGGATTTATTCAGAAGAAAAGTTTCTGCAGCGCAGTAAATATAGAAAGTAGTCGCGTCTCAGACTCTTTCAAAGTGATGGTGTTTCTAGTATTTTCTTTGGTGTTTAATAAATTTTTTGAAGCGTCAAAAGCTTGGTCTTCGTCCATTTTATTTTCAGCTCCGAGGTCATCATTTCACTATCCTTTAGTTGAAGGATAGTGAAAGAACTAGTAGTAGTTGTTTCTTGTATGTTGCTTTCTTTGGAAAACTAAACAGTATTGTTATATTGAAAGTTTTTTTTTTTGCGAGAACTGCTTATACTTGTTCGTCTATGCTTATATCACCAGCTGAAAAAATGTTAGTGGTAGTTACGACTTTTGACAGTCCAGCTGGAGTTTCTAGTATTTGGGCAGACTTGCCAGTCATGGTTATCTTCTGGAAAGATTCTTCTTTGTTTTTAGTTGGAGAGTCAGGACGCGTACGCAAGTTGCAGTTATTATTTTGTGAAAATTTTTGATTTTTTTCTTTTCCCATTTTTTTTTTTTGGTTTTGAAGAGAGAGGGAAAAAGTTTTTGATATGCAAAAATGATCTGTGAGGCTAAAAAGGATGATCAATTTCATATTATATTAAAATGATTTGCAGTACTGTAACTACATTAGATAATTAAATGATTTACATGTCTTATTTCCTACATTTGGTAGTCTAATTTTATTATAAAAATAGGCCTTATTACGTCATATGATATTAATGACATTTATTACATTTATTTCATTTTTCTCATTTATTTTATTTACTTCGTTTATGTCATTTATTTATTATATTTATTTTATTTATTTTATCTATTTTCTATATTTTATGCATTTTATCGTTATTAGTGAATATTTTTATATAAATAGGAGTAATCTATCGATGTAAAAAGGATAAGAACTGTCTTGTCTTGAATAATTCTTTTGATAAATAAACTGTTTAGTACAGAAGCGCCGATAGAGACAGTACTAGTCTTTTATTTATTAAATAATTATTTGCACGTATTTCACCCAGTTTATCATAATTCTCTTTAATTTCTTATCTCATATCTTTATCTTTACTCTTCTGTGTGAAGGAAACCTTCTGCTAAATTGTGATATTGTAGGTGATTTACCCGTGATCTAAAAGAACTGGCGTAATACTAATATATATTTTTACTTTAAAAAAATAAACTATTTCTATTATATTTTAACTAAAAAATATTTATATAACATTATCAGGTCTTAGTATTAAATAGTTAAATAAGTAAAAAAAGTTTGTGTATATATTATTTAATCTCTTTTAAACTATCTTTAATGTTTTTATAAATGTCAAGATTTTTAATATACATTCTATATATTCTTATTCTCTAATACAAAATATTTATATAAGAATCTGTTGTATATTATTCTGTTTTAACCTCAAATATAAACTTAAACTTTAAAAAATTTGAATAAGAAAATTATAAAATATTTAAAAAAATAAAATAGGTAATTTAGTTATATAAGTATTTTATAATAGAAAGATAAAAATTACCAAAAAGCTTTTTTTACTTTATAAACTAAATATTTTTTTAGTGAAATAAGTTCAAATTTAACATTAATTCAAAAAATAGTTTAGTAATTTTTATCTTTTCTATTATAAAGAGTCTATATTTTACTTTGCTAAGGATATTTTTTTGCTCTCTCTTTTAATTTACAATAAAAATAGTATTACAACTAGTTGCAATTATATGATGCTTATTTGTTATCAGTTATAACTAATTCTAACCTTACGATATTTATTTATTATCAGTTATAACTAGTTATAATATTATCTTTAATTTATAATATCTTTTTTATATTAAATTTTTTATAAAATATATTTACTGAATTATATTAAAAGGTCTATATTTTCTTATTAACTTTCTTTTAAAATATATAATTACTTCTTTTATTATTTTCAAATTATAGAAGATCCTTAAAATATTAAAAAAAAATCAAGAACTTTAGTAAATAATATTATTAATTTCTTATTAAATATCTATTTTAATAATACATTTATATAGAATAAACTTCTTAAAATTTTTGTATAAGTTAGTTTATTTACTTTAGTAAATCTATAATCTGATCAAAATAATGATAAATAATATAAACTAAATTAAGTAACTAAAATATATAATTTGTTTAATTTATAATCTATATTTAATATATATAATATTTAAAATATAGTAAATATCTAAATTATATTCTTATGCAAGTTTTTATATTGATATTTTAATATTTTGTAAAGGTCATTTTATGATAACTATATGATAATAACTTTATATTTGTTTGATAAAAAGTACAGCATGACCAAAATATTGATTACAAAATTTAACTATAAGCTTTTTAACTGTAACAACTTTAATATATGAGGATTAGCATCTCTAGTTTAGTTGGTAACAACTGAGCTCCTATTGTAAGTTACACCGTGATAGTCATAAGTTCAGGCCTCAATTGAGATATAAAATTAAATAATTTTTATAAGAATTTCATATATAACTGAACACATGAGCGTATAGACTAATATATGTTAGACACTGGTAAATTAATTTGTCAATCTATATTGATTATGTCTAAATACTAGGTTTGAAAAATAAGTGGATGCAAATAAAGCCAGAGATTGACAAAAACTTGGCTGTCACTGATAAGTCTGTAACAGATACTGTCTTACATCTTCAACTTCAGGAACTCTTACACAAGTAAAGAAGTGATTAACCAATAATTAGTAGATTGAGTATCACCTACAGGTAGCTATAGTGATAATAGACTTCATTACACACTGTAGTATCATCCAATCAAACTATCACTAAGGGTAGAGGCTGAGTTCAATTTCTAGATGAATTTGATGTTATGGATATAAATATCACCATCTATGTAAAGAACTGATCCCACAGTCTTAGTAGT